GAGTTTTTCTAATAAAAAGTTCATCAAATCCGAAAGAATTTTCGATTAAAAATCATCATAAATTGACTGCAATTTCTAACATTTTATTGTTAGTATACATATAAAATTAAAAAATGCTCCATATACAGCTAGCACGTTAATTATACTTTAAGATTTGTATCAACTCTGATCGTTGCATTGGAATATTGACTTATATCTGCAAACAAGATAAACTTTAGTATTAATTATGAAATATCATACTAGATTTGGTTGACTCAATCAAATATACATATCCATAATATAATCTAACGTGAATTTAAGAACAATAAATATATAATAAAACTATAATTTTATTTTCACAAAAGGCCAAACATGTCTATAACTCCCTTTAGTGACCCTTGTCCTTTCCAATTTTACCTTCTGGGGTTAGGGTTTCCCAAAAAGAACTAACAAAAAAAAACAGAATATGCTTCCAAAATACCCAACACATAATTAGAAATGAACTTTACAATGCATGAGTCTAAATAAATGACTTTCTGAACAGTGAATAGAAAAAAAAAAAAATTAGAGGTTATGTTGGTTTCGTACTTAGAGTTTATGTATGACGAGGTTTACGATTTACGAGTTTGTTGGATTCAGTAATTTTTGTTCAATTTTTATAGTTGTATTAATAGTTTATTGAATATTTACAATAAAAACATATTTAATGTAACTCCACACGCGAGTTTTGAGGAGGATAGTGTGTACGCATGCAAATCTTACTCATATCTAGACAGGTTGCTTCACATTCCAATAGATTCTCTGTCAAATAAAAACATTACAAAACAGTTCGGAGAAAAACGAGGCGAGAGTGAAGAAGCCAAGATAAAAAATCGAAGAAAATATGACAGTATAAGCGAGATAACTCTCAAGTCTCAACTGTCTAATTAACTCTCTATCCTAATTCGTGCCCTAATCTCCATAACCTCGTATTTAATCCTCGGTAAAAAAGCTAAAGTTACGACATATCATATTTAATCACCTCTCATCAATACCTCTCCGGCTTAACTACTCTACATACATCTCTTGTAATCATCCATAACCTACCTTTATACCTTCAAAGGATAAGCACGAAAAGATTTTAAAGTTAATTAAAAGATGAAGGGGAAACTACTAGTAACATTTTTTCAAACTTGAAAAAATAATGGACTTAGGGAAGGTTTCATTGTGCTTTTACGGTTATATGCGGCGACTTAACATTGTTTAATATATATTGCAATTTAGTAGTATTTAACTTAACCAAAAAAAAAAAAAGAGACTTAGTATTCTAAAATTGATTTTCTTAATTAGTTGAATTTATTATTGCAAATTGCCAAAAAAAACTAAGTGTGAGTCAAAATCCACAACGTGATCAACATCTATTTTAATATTTATCCATTATAATTTACGATTATCTTTTTCTTTTCAGAAACTTACAAATTCTCGAGTTTTAGCAGCTCATTAACATTCAACATGCCAATTAGTTTTGTATCTATTTACATTTACTATTAGTTTAATAATGTGTTTTAGTTTTGTTAGGAGAATTCTCGGTTTAGACAAAGTGAAATAAAAATAACAACTAAGAAGCCCCCCCCCCCCTTTTTTTATATATATATTCATACGACAAAGTTAATAGATAATTGAGTGTTATCCGTTTTGTTAGGAGGAGAGGGAGTGGATTAACCTCTTCCTCTCCTCGTCCTTTTAGCGGTAATAATATTTTATCGCAAAAGTTTTTCTTTTGATGTGTATTGATATTTATTTTTTTATTTATTCGTATTTTGTTAAATTTTTTTTCTTTTGAATGCTGCATTTCTTTCAGAAATAATTTCTCTATCATGAATGAGATCAGAATATATCATATTTTTTTTTAAACATGAAATTACATTGAATATGCTATTGTAATCTTTTAAGCTCATAGACGGTAACTTATGTTTTGATGAAATTAACTACAAACAATTTTAATTTGTTTGACTTCCAATTTAGTAGAAGTGTCCAATCTCTTCAAGTAATAATAATAAATATAACTCAATAAACAAATATGGTGATAAAACGTATACTAATAATATAATACTATATAGTACAAAAAAAAAAAAGAAATCTGTAGACAGCTGGCCATGTTAAACCTTGATTAAAAAAATATTATTTAAGAAACAAAAGAAATTAAAAATAAATAAAGGGGGTGGGTGAGGGTGGGGTGGGTATATGCTAATTTAGAACAGAATAAACCTTATTGCCATAAATCTCAATTTCTTCTTCCAAAAAAAAAAAAACTGAATTTTTTTTTAAGACCTTGTTGCATCACTAAAATATAACACGAAAAAATCTCTATACAGTCATTTGAACAAATTGTGTTGCTTAAAAATAAATATCGAAGATTGTTTTTTTTTATTCAAATTACAAGTGAATTGAAAAATTAAATTATTTAATATTATACAATACTTTCCACATAATTTTTGTTTTAATAAATATCACTTTAATGTTGAACTTATATTTAGTTTTGGTTTTTTTTAGGACTTTACCGTATATTCTGCATCATTAGCTCTATTTAATTCCCCACACATATATTTCTTTTTCTTTTTCTTTTTCTAACTTTTCTTTTTAAATGCTAGCCTAGTAGCTTACCTTAATTGATTTGTAGTTGGACTAAAACTACGAAAACCTTATTTATTTATGCACAATATATTCAATTTCAATTTTGGGTGCGCATAAGTAAAAATTTAAATTTATATAGAATTCAACTCGCATCCTACTTGGTAGGAAACCACACAAGACATAAATTATCATATAGGACGAATGTATCTATTTGTTCAATTTTATACAAATTTAAGTATTTTCTTGTGCACATTCAAAATTAGAGTACATAAATATCTGTTGAGATTGTACGAGTCCATACTATATATACAATTGAGTCCATACTATATATACAATTGAAGACCTAAACAAGATTCACCTCGTCTCAGGATTTTTCACTAAGAAATTTCAACCGTTCAAGGAGATCAATGTACAATTTTAACTACAATAACAACAATTAGGAAGAAGTGTACGTAATGAAGCTTTTAATATAAAAAGCTTGGAGACGATACTTTCCCACATTCTACTTGCAATATTTATCGTGTGATCGTGAACGATGAGAGAAGAAGAGAATTCCAGACCAGAAGGGGAATAGGGACAACAGCACCAATGTGGAATGATATAATTGAAATATGTTTTAAAGAGTCTCCTGTTAATAAGGAATTAAAATAAGGTGAAAGGATTTATTAGCTATCAGGAGAGAAGACATTACACCAATATAGACTAGGGATTTCTTTTTCCTCATCTTGATTAGTGTTAATGAACACTTATACATCTTGATTAGCACTTAGTAGTGATTTTCTATTTTATCTTGTGAAAGTTAGGGTTAAGTTTTGCAATTTTTTCTCTAATTATAGTTTGGTTCACTCCATTGTCTTGCAATAGGAACTCTTTTTTGGGATTTAAGTCATATACTTTTGTTTCAATTTGACAATTTGGATTTGAGAAAAAACTCATAATTTAATCAAATATTTTATTATGATTTATAGTACTTTTAATTCAATTTAAACATATAAATTTTATTTCAAAAAAAGGTTAGAAAATTCTGTCTAAAATTCTCACATAACATTAATTAGTTTGACCCAATACTCCGAATAAATTCATGTAAGTGACCTAATTACTATATAACTATGTTTTATTTATTAGTACATAAACCTTAAACTCATATGCTTAAAATAACTTTCAATATGAGTTTCATTAATATAACTATGTTACGTATCGAAAATACTAAAATCAATAAGTATAAATGTTCCATCTGCCTTTGGGTATTAACTTAATGATGTGAATAGAGGGCAATAAGTACAATGAGAAATGCAACTACTAATTTCACGCATATACTAATTGATGCTTTATAACAATGTGATTTGTTTACATGACAAACACAATGAGAGCATGTACCTCTAAGAAAACACGAGTCCATGATTTAAGTTTAACCAAAATGCAAGTCGATGATTTAAATTTTACGAGTTCAACCTAATAGGAGCTTATACCATGGAAACCATTACACTTCAGAAGTTAGGTTAAGAATTTAGTACTGCTTCTTTAACTTAAAAGTTATATTTCACACACACGTCATAGATATATGTGCTCTGTGTCGAAAATAATGGATTTAGTTAAACCCGTTACTATATATATATATATATATATATATATATATATATATATATATATATATATA